GGCGGTGGTGAGAGTAATGGTTATGGTGGTGGCGGTGCCCCCAGTGCCACCACCACCACCACTAAGTTATACTAGTGCGTGTGCGGCTGGTTCCATCACCGCCGCCACCGCCATCACCTACATCACACCACCGAACTTCGTGCACATGGGGGATGGCAGTGGTGGTTGTGGTGATGGTCGAGGCGCCTCCTCCCCAATCGCCACCATCGCGCCACCAACGTTTGCGAATGCGTCCACTGCTGTTGTTTGTGCCGCCACCACCTCCTCCGCCACCACCAGTGTTCCCCCCCTCCCCCCTCCCTGTCCAGCGACCAACACTGCTTGTGGCAGGCGATAGCCGCGGTAGCGCTGGAAGCGATCCCCAATTACCAGTACCGCAGCACCCGCCAATCCCCGTTAGTACTTCCACGGCTGCTTCTACCACTAACTTAGATACTACTCCACCGACTCCCCCGCGCCCTTTCGAAGTCATTGGGGGGCGGCACAATTGGTTGCGACGGTTGTGAGTGCGATCCCCGTCCATATAGTGTGGATAAGCTTTATACTGTTGTGATCACTACTAACACATCCACCATCACCACCACCGCCAATACTTTTCCATCGACACTGGGTAACGGGTGTGGCGCTGATGGTGGGGCTTCCGCTTTTGCCACCACAAACGCCACATCCAACACGTCATATGGTGTTCATCAAACCGTAATTGTTGAAGCCATGCTCAAAGCCACGAAGCAAGATCCCAAGTCAAGCCCACAAAACAAACCACATCGGTATACACAACTGTAGTTATTGTCCACAGGGGTGGGGGTCGGGGATTTCGTGGGCCGTCTTGAAACAGGTCGCTGAAAAGGCACGGCGAGGCAACAAGGAAAATCAATGAATGGGGTTTGGGAGAGAGAGAAAGAGAGAGAGAGAGAGAGACAGAAAGAGAGAGAGAGAGAGAGAAAGGAAGAAAGAAAGAAAGAAAGAGATACATATCATAAGGATGAGGAGGACGACGACGCCGAGGAGGGGCGGTGGGGGCGGAAGGACGAGGAAGCGCATGGGGAGAAGGAGGGGGAGAAGGAGGAGGAGGAGGCTGAGGAAGAGGAGGAAGGGAATACAACTGTTGATGCGGGGAAAACGGAAGAGGAGGGAGAGAAAAGGGGAGGATGGTTGGAGGGCGAGGAGGGGGAACGGGTTGAAGAAGCGGATGAGGAAGAGGAAGAGGAAAGGATGAGGAGGAAGAGCAGGATGGTGAATCGGATGCGGAGCAGCAGCGGGAAGAGCAGGATGGAGAGATGGATCAGAAAACGGGTGACGAGGAGGGGGCGAGGAGGCCCCCCCGTCCCCGTGAGTAGCATGCGTCCGCGCATACTTGCGATCATGCATGTATGCGTGGACGTGCATGTAGAGCCGCATTACATACAGATCCATCGACGCTAAAAGGTCCGACGTGTTTTGGTCATCTGAAATGTCACTTTAATGCGGCCTGTGCGGCCGAGGGGACTCACTCCCAGAACACCCCGGCCTCCAAAATGCAGGGGAGGGCGGCAGGCTGCGTGCAGGCAGGCGGACCCGCCCACAGCAGCAGGCAGGCAGACAGATATCGAACAGGAAGCCTCGGCTGCTCCCTCTGCTCTTCGACATCGGAGTAATCAGAAGCGCACGACCGAAGCGTGACCAAACTGTGTGTTGAACTGCTCTTGAGCATCCCTCCTGCAGAGGGACGCGCCCGAGTTAAGCCTCAGCTCAGACCGGAGACGGAGCCCACCCGAGCCCTGGCCCGAGCCCAGGCCCGAGCTCAGGCCAGAGCCCCCCACGGGCTCTCTCGCGGGGCCAGCTTCTCGCCCCCTGAGCGTCTCCGGGCCATCCTGGCGCCCGGGGGAGGGCCCGGGGGGGGGGGGCCGAAACCGGCGCAAGGCCTCAGGACCCGCGTGACCGCTTGAGCGCGATGGCGACGCCTGCCGCGGCGGTCCGCGCTCCCCTGCGATCCGCCGCAGCGAGCAAAACGGCAACATCGCAAAAAGAAGCAAAACCCGGAGCCCCAGGCCCCATCTTTTCGTCGCCAATGTTCAATGCGGATCGATATGTGAGGGCCCCGGGGCCCGGAAAGAGGCGAACACGCCCAGCTCGCCAGGATCTCATGGTCGGGCACTCGCAGGCACGACTCGCGGCCAGCCTGCATGCTCAGCTCAGCGTTAAGTCGGGCCTGTCCCCCTACAGGAGGACTATTCAAAACTAGTTAAAAATATGGAAACGAATTTCGGCATATTTTGAAAACCATGATGGAATATGTTTTGGCAATTTTTATGTTTCGTCCCAAATCCGCCTGTAGGAGGACATGCCCGACCTGAGCTCAGCGCCCGAGCACGCGCGGCTGCCTGGCCCTCGCGAGGGCCACCCCCCCCAGAGGGGGGCAGCTCTTAGAGGCCTCCTAGATGGGGTCGGAGCAGATGGGGTCGGAGGATCGCGCCGCATCGGCGATGCACTGGCGATGCATCGTCGACGTCGGCGATGCATCGGCGACGCCGACGTGAAGCAGAGCGGGCTGCACATCGAGCCGCATCGGCGACTATAGGGGGCCGCACGCGAACCCCACCCCCTACCCCCTCAGAAATCCTGGGGGGTAGGGGCAGGCTTCGCACGTGGCCCCCCTGGCGATGCATCGGCGATGCGGCGCGACCCTCCGACCCCCCCGCCTGCCCCGGCCCCACCTGAGATGGTCGGATGGGCAAGCGAGTCAATCCGACAAATCAGCTGCGCGGAGCTCTGACATCCTGAGGAAGATCTGAGTCTTCAGTAGCAGAAACATTGGCAAAACCAAATCTCCCGAAGGGCCGAACGGAGGCCTGGAGTTCCCTGCCCCGACCCGCCACGCGCGGAGCGCCGCCCGCCCCGCGCCTCCACGAGCGAGCGAGCAGCACACGGTGCCTTTGGGCCTCGGAGGTCGAGGCTCCCGGGGGCCCCGTCCTCGCGCTGCCTTCGCTCGGACGTCCAGTCTCCGTGCGTGTGTCGGTCTGGTGCGTGTTTTCTTTAGGGGGGAAACAAACCTACCTCGCTTTTGACCACCCTCGCTTCCAAGAGATACCAAACGATGCCAAATTGCAGCCTGTACTGGTCAGGCCGCTTGACGAGGAGGCGCGTGGTATGGCTTGGTTTTGCCTGGAAGCGAAAGCGGGGTAGGTAACTCACGCTCTGATTCTTGCCCGATGATCCAAGATGCTCCTCGAGGGCCCTCGCCGAGAAAAATACACCCGCGTACAGACAGGTATAGGTGTAAAACTATCGAAGCACACATGCAAGAAGGAAGAGCTGTGAGGAGGAGGGGCTGAGAAGGGAGACAGCGAGGAAGGGAGAGGAGGAGAAGAAATGGGAGGGCAAGCAAGAGGAAGGGGGGAATGCTGAGGACGAGAAGGGTGCAGCAGGAGGGGGAGGCGAGAGGAGCGGGAAAACTGGCGGGCGGACCCTGACGGGCAGGTCGGTCCAGCGGACCCTGACAGGCGTGTTGGGCGGGTGGGGTCACTTCAGAGGGGGGGCGGGCTTCCAAGCAAGCAGACGGGCGGACAGCAGCGGGTATGATGGGCCTGTTTTCCACCACCACCACCAGAAGTTGGAGGGGGAGGGGGTCCTCCTCCTCGTTCTCCTCCTCCTCTTCTTTCTCCTCCTTCTCCTCCTCGTCCTTTACCTTCTTCTCCCCTCCAACTTGTGTTGGTGGTGGTGGTGGTGGAAAACAGGCCCATCATCCCAGGCCCACTCGCGCTGTGACAAAAACCACGGCGGGATGTTTTCCTCCATTGTCGGCCTCTGGCAGCCCTTGCCGGGCCTCGGGGCCGTCAAGCATCGGGTGTTGCTAGAGATGCCCCTGGCCCAAGGTGCCCCTAGCTTTTCGCTCCATTTTGACGCCTCTGGGGTCCTCTGGGACTCGTGAGGGGTCCCCTCGAGGCCGTCTGGCTGCCTCGAGAATACTGGCGATTCCTTGGGCCAGGGGTACTTCTAGCAACACCCGAAACGATTCAAGATGCGAAGCCGGTCCTGGGGAAGGGGTCCAAACCTCTGGGGGTCGACGCTGCGAACAAACTCACAACGCCGGGGGTCTGGGTTCGAGGCGTGCGGATCAGCTCGGCCCTCTTGAGCCCCACGTCTGGGCCCGCCTCGAAGTCCTGGTTAGAACGCACTTCTGCCTCCAACTTCGCGCCGCGCGACGCCCGCGACCTTCGGGCCCTCGTGCGGCCCCTCGCGGCTCGAGAAAGACGGCGCCCCTGGCCCAGAGCGCGAGGCCCGGGGCGGGATTCTCTTCGCGCTCCTGCGGGTGGCGCCAAGGACGGACGGAAGAACGGCGGACGGACGGAACCGACAGACAGACGGCTGAACGGACTCGGATGAACCTGCCATCGCTCGGGCGCCCATTCCCCGCGCATGTGTTTCGATGCCGTGCGCGCATTTTCTCGCAAGAGTCGGGTCGGGCGAAAGGGGGGGATAGCAAAGGGGGGGATTGAGAATCAGCTCACGTAGCTGATTTTCCCGGCGCCTCCCGGCGCCGGAGGCGGCTATGTATCGAGAAATGGCCCCCTCGGTGAGGCCGAAACCAGCTGCATGCAGCAAATTTCGTAACCCCCACTTTCCCAATCCCCCCCTTTCGTCCGGCCCGAAAGAGGGTCCAAGATGCTCCTCGATCGTCCTCCCCGCCGAGAAAAAACATATGCACACGTCCGAGCGATGCCACATCACCTGGAGCATCCACACACGAGCCCGGCCTCTCTGCTGCGTGTTGCGTGGACGCGCGCCAGACGAATGATACGTGTGCCCCCCTCCTCCTCCTCCTCCTCCTCCTCCCCTCCCCCTCCCCCCTCCTCCTCCTCCTCCTCCTCCCTCCCTCCCTCCCTCCCTCCCTCCCTCCCTCCCTCCCTCCCTCCCTCCCTCCAGCCTTTGGCGGCCTTCTGACGGTGCTCGGCGCGAAAGCTGGATGGCTGCGTTTACGTCAGCGATGGAATACCAAGGGAATGAACAATCAAACCACTGGCGGGTCCTGGTGGTCAGCGGGAGCTCGTCCGCAGCACTGCCATCTGCAGCGCCGGGTGCCACCTGCGCCAGCAGGACAAGCTGCAGGATCCACTTCATTGGCTGCAGGCAGGGCCTGATCCGAACTACGTTGGTTTGTCCAGAAAGGCAAAGGGGGGATGACAATGAGCACGAGGAGGGGGAGCAACACCATCAGCTCTTGGCTGACCATGCAGGCGCGAGTCACATGAACTATCAATGTTGTCGTCTGGACCTGCAGAAGGCATGCTTTTCAGTAATCCGCCGATGCGGATTCACAGGACAATGCTAGATACGCTTCTAGGCAGCATGCCCCTTCAATGTCGGATGCGCTGCTAATCCGCCGACTCTGTCTGCGTGCGGACGACGCTGTTCTGATTGATTCGTCGTCGTCATAGTCGTCGTCGCCGTCGTCGTCGTCGTCGTCGTCGTCGTCGTGGTCATTGTCGTCGTCGCCGTCGCCGTCGCGTTTGATCCCCCTGTCCCTGGGCCCGTCGCCACTCCCCCCCCCTATCGCCGGGTCCCCCTCCTCAAGTGAGCCAGCCGACGCGAAATCAACGCGGAAGATAGCAATATCGCAGTTGAGTCGAAGGGAAGCCCCTTCCCTCAAATCCCTTCCCCACCGGGGGGGGGGAATCCTGGGGGGTCCCGCGTCAGAATACCATCCCCCCCCACAAACGCTCCAAAACAGACCCAGAGTGCCATAAGAAGCCTCCTCCCCTCCTCCTCCTCCTCCTCCTCCTCCACCTCCTCCTCCTCCTCCTCCTTCTCCCTCTCCTCCTCCTCCCTCTCCTCCTCCTCCTCCTCCTCCTCCTCCTCCTCCTCATAACGCTGTTCTATTTGACTCGCCGCCAACGTCGTCGTCGTCATCGTGGTGGTCGTCGTCGTCGTCGTCCTTCAAGGTCGGCGGCACCGGCCGAAAAGCCTTCACAGTATGTTATCATCATCCTTCTCCTCTGGACAATGCCCCCCAGAAATAATTTCACGGGCCCGTGCGATGCCAATCCTTTTCCGCGGCGATGGCTGTAACCGACCGAGACGGGCCAATCGAAACAGACAGTCCTATCCAACCGAAAACGTTCGCGCAGCGACAACTGCGAGGAACAAACCCGCGTGGTACCGCGAGCCAGCGCTGATCTGCGAGACATCAGACATCCTCTGGCATTTTTTTGTTTGTTTTCAATCCGCGGCCCCAGAGCTCTCGACCACTTCCCCAGGGGTGTTTACTTCTGCGCCCCAAGACCAGCTTGAAGAGGCCCCAGGACACACAAGTAAATACACACAAATACAACGATTCCCCATATTTTCCTATAATTTTCCGGTTTTTTTCTTCCCCCCCCCACTTCCCATATTGTCCCACCTTTTCTGGGGAATTGACGATTAATTGTGTCTGTGTCTTCTTGCCCCTCCTGAGACAATCCTGGAAGCTCTCTCAAGTAACTGTGGCGCGCGCTCCGCAAAGCTGGTCCGCGCCAAGCCTCATCGTGCTCACCATCGCCATTGGGGGGCAGGGGTTGTCTACGGTCTGGGGCCAGAGCCCAGGAGGCGGAGGACGACGGGAAGGACTGTGGAGGGGAGGCGAAGAGAGGGGAGGACAGCGGAATAAGGGAAGAGCAGCTGGGGGAGGCGGAGGCAGCAATACATAGATCGCTTGCTCTATGCCCCGCCTGGCTAAGAGACGGCCGCCGAGCCTTCGGCACTCTGGGCTGTTCAACTCACCCCTGGGGGGAAGGCGCCGTGGACGCCCCTCACGACCAACTTCGTTGACGGCCATACCATGGGACGCAGAGGGTCATATAAGTACTTCGGTACTTCAAAGATGGGGTCCTGAGGGATGGGGTCCCAAGGATCTGAAGGGATCCACGGGTGGATTTACATTATTTTTGGCACCTCGTCCTTCGGACCCCATCCCTTAAGACCCCATCTTTGAACCACCGAATACTATGCGCCCCCCTCTTCTGGCATGCCGTTACCCGAGCGGCATGGCTGGAAAGCAACCGCCACCGAACCTACTCTACAAGACTTCAGAGCGTGCGTCGCCCCTGGGGGGTCGACACGCACATAGCATAAGCATGTCTGGGCGATACCAATACCGAATTCATTCACAGTCAGACCTTCTTGGAAGAACAACAAACGGCATAAGCATAAACTTTCGCCAGTCCGCGCGGATTTCTCGGATCCGCGCTTGGCCCCCCTCCGTGGCGCGCGGAGCGCGCCAGGCGCGGCGCCGGAGGCGCCGCCGGGGGGGCCCCAGCGCGGATCCAAGAAATCCGCGCGGAACTCCCAACATTTGTGATTCTGGCGTTTTGTCAGGGCGACGGCGCCCCGGGTGGTATCCGAGCCCAGCCGATCAGCCGATCAGCCGATCAGGCCGATCAGCCGATCAGCCGATCAGCCGATCAGCGACCAGGCAGCCGATCAGCCGATCAGCCGATCAGCCGATCAGCCTTATCGGCTGATCGGCTGATCGGCTGATCGGCTGCTCGGTCGCTGATCGGCTGATCGGCTGATCGGCTGATCGGCTGCTCGGTCGCTGATCGGCTGATCGGCTGATCGGCTGATCGGCTCCGAAGCTGGGTCGGCCGATCTTCGGCCGAGAGGTCCAAGACGGCCCAAGATGGCCTCAAGAGGGCCCCAAGATGAGCCCAAGATGGGCAAGCCAACTTGAGATGTCGAGCACTGCGCCCCGAAGGGGGAGGGCCGAGACCGCCACAGGGCCGACAAGAGGCCCCCACGAGGACCCAAGAGGCCCTCAATAGGCCCAGAAAAAGCTTCAAGAGGCTCCCAACCGGTCCCCCTATGAAGCCCCAAGAGGCTTCAAAACTGCCTTCAACAACAAGCACCCCGAAAGTTTCCCAAGAGACCCCAATAGGCAGCCAAGAGGCCTCTGACTCAGACCCACAATCCTGGCACGGCGGCGGGATGGGCCGGAGGCCATTAGATCCGCCGCCCCCTGTTGATTTAGCGCAGGGGTGCCCGGCGTGCTGTACGCTACCGCTTTGGGTTTTGGTTCTTTTCCAACAGAATGCTCCCTGAACCAGCCCGCCGGCCTCCCGGAAAGGCCCGCAAGGGAGCGCAAACTGGGCCAGTCGTGGCCTTTCCCGCTCCAAGATGGCCCAAGATGGCCTCTACGACGGCTCAGATGGCCTGCAAGTTCGCCCAAGACGGCTCAAGAGAATCCAAGATGCCTCCAAGTTTGTCCAAGAAGCCCCCAAGAGGGCCCAAGACGGCCCCAGAGGTCTCCAAGAGGCCTTCAAGATGGCCCAAGAAGCCTCCAAGAGGTCCTCCAGGATGGCCCTAAGAGAGCAACATCATCGTTTTTTCTTGGGTGTTTGAATGGTTTGTTGTTACGTTTTCTTGTTTTTCGGCTTCCGACGGCCCAAGAGGCCCCCAAGATCGCCCAAGAGGCCTCCAAGACGCCCAAGATGGCCTCCGGCTGATCGGCTGATCGGCTGGTCGATCGCTGATCGGCTGATCGGCTGATCGGCTGGTCGACCGCTGATCGACTGATCGGCTGCCGTCCAGTTCCCCTTGAGACATCCTCGCAGCTCCGGGCTCAGAGGTCTCTTGACCCGAGGTGGTCGGGCCAGTCTCGCCTGCGACATCTTCCTGTCTTTGGGTTCGGAGATGCCCCGCACGAGGTGGTCCATCCAATTCCGTCTGAGACCTTCTCGCAAGTCCAGGCTCAGAGATCCCCTGACCTGAGGTGGTCGGGCCAGTGTCGCGTGAGACATCCTCGCAACTCCGCGCTCAGAGGTCCCCTGACCTGAGGTGGTCGGGCCAGTTCCGCCTAAGGCATCCTCGCCACTCCGGGCTCAGCGATCCCCTGACCTGAGGTGGTCGGGCCAGTCTCACGTGAGACATCCTCGCAACTCCGGGCTCAGAGATTCCCTGACCTGAGGTTGTCGGGCCAGTCTCGAGTGAGACATCCTCGTAACCCCGGGCCCAGAGATCCCCTGACCTGAGGTGGTCGGGCCAGTCTCGCCTGAGACATCCTCCCATCTTTTGGCTCGGAGATGCCCCGCGCGAGGTGGTCCGTTTCCTCGTTCATTTCTCTACTCTCTCTCTTTCTTTCTATCTCTCTCTCTCTCACTCTCTCTCTCTCACTCTCTCTCTACTCTCTCCTTTCTCTTCAATTTAATTATCCTCGTTCCTTGTCGTCGTCGTTGTCGTAGCGTCCGCTTTTCTTCCGAACACATTTTTGCTCGACATCTTCACGTCGATACATCGATTTTCAATTCCATTCCACTTCTTACATATCTAATGGCCTTCGGCTCATCCCGCCACCGTGCCTAGGCTGTGGGGGCCCCGCGGTGGCCTCTTGGGTGCCTCTGGGGGCTTCCCAGGGGCTTCTCGGGGCCGAGGGTTCGAATTGTCCGTTCGGATTCCCCGTTGGGGCGTCCTCTGGGATCCGTCTTCGGCCTCTCTTGGGCCGTCTTGGTGGCCTCTTGGGCCGTCTTGGTGCCCTCTTGGGCCGTTTTGGAATCTCTTGGAGATCTCTTGGGGCGACAGATTGGGTTCGGGACCCGAGTATACGCCCATTCCGTGCAATGGCACGGTGGCAGATTCTGGCGTGCCTACCGCCGTAGGCCCTTCCAGCTGCGAGGGTGCACTCGGCAATCGCCTACGGCAACCAATCGCCTACGGCAACCCCCGCCGTTGCGTACAAGGAGGGGGGGAGGAGGCACGCGCCAGGAGGACGCAAGGGTAACGTCAGGAAAGGGAGGCAGCGAGTGGAGAAAACGAGATTCAAGTTGGAGCAGTGAGCAAGTGGATGGCCAGGACAGGAGAGTGAGGAAGTGGAAAGAGGAGGAGGAGGAGGAGGAGGAGGAGGAGGAGGAGGAGGAGAAGGAGGAGGAAGAGGATGAAGATGAGGGAGAGGGGGAGGAGGAGGAGGAGGAGGGGGAGGAGGAGGAAGAGGAGGAGGAACAGGAGGGGGGTGATTTTTGCACCACGCCCGACTGGCCTACCAGGGGCCTAGTTCTCGGATTGCTACAATCCGCAACCGTGCTGCTTGACGTGGGCGGTGGTGCCGTGACAGCGCCGAGCAGCAGCGACGTCGCGGCTTGGCTGACGTCCGGTGATGGGGCCAGCGCT